TACAAGATACTGAATATAGTTCCCTGTGCTATATAGTAGGACCTTGTTGTTTACCTAATTTATATATAGTAGTGTGTATCTGTTCATCCCAAGCTCCTAATTTATCTCCCCCTCACCTTTACCCTTTGGTAACCGTTTTTCTATGTCTGTGCAGACGCCCTTTTCTTAATTCAAACAGAATTAAATCAAAAGACAGATATGTTCCAGAAGCAGATTTCAGTTCAATACGGGGACATGGTCTGTTATTTTACGATCAGCTCTATCCTAAGGAATAGGAGAATGGTTTCGTAGATCAATGGGTGAGAGATTTGCTGTTTCTTAAACACCTTATTATAAGCCAAATAAGTCAACATTCACTATATCACAGAGTATGCATAGTGTAATTTGGCCTGTTTACCAGATTACGGAACTAAGTTATGAAGAGTTTTAAAAAACCTACATTACGACTCTCCCATTCTAATTATTTTCCAGAAGTGGAGATGGAATTATAGAGTTTACTACCAAGAAGCCATTCCTGCTCCTCCAAAAGTGAGTAGAGGGAAGGTGGTGCTGGATACAGGCGATATCAACATTAAATATATTTCTAAGTTCAGTAAAAAAGATGAAAATCCAAGAGTTGCCATATACAAACTTAAAAACACATGTAGTGTTACCTCCTTCAAAAATTATTTAACTTAACAGGGCGTTAGGATTTAACCACTTGCACTAAGGCCCCACCATAACCAAGGACAACAAAGAGAATTCTGGAACCTGGATCTGAGAGGCATGCAGGTCCATGGTGATGATGTGATCCGCCCCAGCGACCGAGAGCATATTGGCCACGAGTTTCGCCGAAATCGGAGCACGACTCTAAAATATAAAGGCACGGATTTTATAACAGGGGAGAGATGGAGACCTCCAGGTTTCTCCCACTAAGATTTATAGAAGAAAGAGGAATCACAGATGCTTTATTACACTTGAAGAAAATTAACATTAATAATTCAAAATTAATACTTCAATAATTTAAACAGTAATTTAAATGATTTCATTATTAATAAAGAAATTTATAGCTTATAATAGCAAAAGATACTCATCCCGTTTTATTCACCAAATATTAATTATTTACATCTACTACTGTGAGACAGTGTGCCTGACACTGGGTATAGAAAACAAATATCAAAGAAGCAAATAATTAAACATAAATACATGTAACATCACAATTTATATAATTCCAATTGTGACAACTGTGCAGAATAATAGGTCCCGGGAGAGAGACAGACAGACAGACAAGAGCATGAAGGACATCAAGTTAAAAGACACTGGTTGTCAGAGGCCCCTCTGAGGAAAGTGCTTTTTAAGGTGAGGCCAGCAGAAGCGGGAGACCAGTGTGGCAGCAAGAGCAGCCCACGTGACGTTATGGAGGCTGAGATCATATCCAGGGACGGAACGAATCCTAGCGTGGCTACAGGCAGTGGTCCAGGACAGAATGTGAGGGCATGCCGGGAGAGAGGCAGGGGCGCATCCTGCAGAGCCCTGAAGGCCAAGGCCAGCCCTAAAGACAAGTTTCTACACTACAGCTGGGAGCGAAGGCTGTTACAAATTCGACAAAAACCATATCCAAGAAAGAACACCTTAAGGTGATGGATAATTTGATATTCAGAGAAACACACGCAGCGTGACACCGTATCCTCTCTGAAGGTACCCAACTTCTCCATAGCTTTAGGTTCCACACCATAAATGACGGACAGTAACTCTGTCCACGTCAAAACAATCCAAGGGATTATAGAGGCATGATTAGACCTAGGGAAAGAGTTCAGCATTTTGCTGTAAACAGTGTTATTTCTATACACCACAAAAAAGGAAATGTAAGCTTAATAGAAGATTTCATTCAAACTTACAATGTCACATGTCAATTATATCTCAAAGCTGAAAACAAAAAAGATTTCATTCAAAATAGTAACAAATGATCTCTGTTAAATACACACACACACACATACACAGGATATTCATGTAAAAACACACAGGAATTATATCACAATGTGAACAGATTATTTTTATTTTCTCTAATAACACCATTCTTTTATAAAAAAGAAACCTATTACTTGATGATAATACACACACACACACACACACACACACTTTTTTCACACACAAAGAATGAGAGGTAACAGCCCAAATGTTACCAGTAGATGTTTCTAGAAAGTGAGATTATGGGGAAACAGTTTTCTAATTTTTAAAAAATTGTTCAACCTGCTCAACTAAGTCACGTTTTCATCGTGTTAGCTCCCCTGCTCTGGTCCACGTTGCCTTTGGGATAAAAAGCCCTCCCGCCAGCGCGGCTCTAGCTACTAAGACCTGGTCTGCCCCACCGCCATCCCTGCGCCTCCAGGAGGGGTCCTCCCTGCAGTGGGGACTGGGCCCGCTCTCTCCCTCTTCCGGAGAACACTCTAAGCCTTGCCATCTACACCTGCACACCCACCTTACCCTTATTCCACCCCCATCTCTGCAGACCCAATGTGTTTGATCCTCCAGATCTGGTTCCAATCTCCAAACTTTAAGGTACTCCGAGAAATCTAGAGAGAAATGATCTGTCCCTTCTAAAGGGACACAGCATTTGGTCCCCACCATATGGGACCACCTTATGCCGCCTGCTTAAAGATTGACATCAGAAGATATTTTATGTAGGATGCATAATTCACAACTAGACTGTGCGTCCCGCAAGGGCAAAGAATTGGTTTTGGAGATTTCCACATCACCTGCAGTCCCGGCTCTGTATCTTGCACATGACAGTTCTTCGATAAATATTTAATAACAGGATCTCTGTAACAACAAGTTTCCGAGGCTTAGTCATTCACCTCACTAACTATGAGAATTATTGAGTCTAACAAAATTCCAAGATAATTAAAAAGAACAAATTGATAGCTGGGAATCTGACTCACAATGCTCATCAATGTGGGGCTCTTTCTCTAAGCTGATAACCTATGAGAAGAGTCCTCTGCTCTCCATAGCGTTCTCTCCATGGCGTTGAGCATTTCTTACTTCTGAGAGCCAAAGCACAGGGGTAATTTTTAAATTCATACTTTCTGATCTCCTTCTTCAAACTCTGTTTTCAAATTTGGTTTTTGGACCATCTTTCGCAATTTGCCTCAACCCCCAACTGCATCTTGCAGGAAAAATGATCCACAAGTTTCAACTGACTTTATAGCCAAGACAGAGAAAAATTTGTAAGACATTTCAACAAAGGTAGTCAAGGTACAGCAACCGAAAATAAAACGTTCGACTCCCCTAATGAAAAACGGATAAAGGTCAAATATTTTGTGAGCCAGACCAACCTCGACAAAGACTCTCCAGAGTCCAGATTTTATTTAATGTATCGGCTGCTGCCCCGCTAAAAAGTGTAAACTTCGCAGGCTTTAAAAATTGACGAGAAAAAAAAAGAAAAAAAAAAAAAAAAAAATTGACGAGATTGTAGAAATTTGTGTCAGCACAACTGTCCTCAATTTTTCCAGTTAAGAAATCAAAAGAAACTATTTGATCATTGAAAATAGAACATAACCTTGAAAATTTGGGGGGGAAAAAAAGCTCCAAGTCTTCTACCCCCTCAAAAGTAATTATTTCCAGCTGTGCCCACATCATACGGTTTTTAGCAGGGAAGGAAACTAGCAATTATTGACCACCCACTATAGCAGAGGTCAGGGGACTGGTGCCCATGGGCCAAGACAGCCCATGCTCTGTTTCTTCACAACCTGTGAGCTAAGAATGGTTTTTAGGTTTTAAAGTGGTTGAAGACCAATCAAAAGCAGTACTTTGTGACATTTGAAAAGTATGTGAAATTCATATTTCAATGTCCATAAATAAAGTTTTATTGGAACACGGCCATACCCCTTCGTTTACATATTAAATATGGCTGTTTTCACACCAAATGGTGAAGTGGAGCGATTTCAACAGAGTCCCAGTGGGACACAAAGCCTCAACAATCTGACACCTAGTTCTTTTGGGAAAGAGTCTGCCCACTTGTGTGCCAAGCACTTTATAAATAGTACCAAATACCATCCTTAACTTCCAGAGGAGGAAACTAAAGACACAACGGAACAAGAGTAAGTAATGGCACTAAAGGTCAAACCCAAGTCCACTTGGCTCCAAAGTCTTACCCCAAAACTCAGACCACTCTGCACCACACTTTTTACAATGAATACTATATTGTCATCTTTTTTCCATGTTAGTATTACATTGTGCTGACGTGTCATCATGAAACCTTTCCTTCACTGTCAGAACTTGTCCCTGGTTTCTTGCACATACAAATAAAAGCAAAAATAAAATTTGACAGATGTGCAGCCTTGCTTAAAAACAAGCAGTGAGGTTAAAAATAATGAAACAAGCTTTAAATCTGGTTAAAAGGCTCTAGCTTTTTCTGCGCTTCCTTGCAGGTAACTCTAAATAGATCGACTGTGCAGAATTCCATTGTGTCTTAGATGCCATAGACAGTACAGTCCTATGGGAAGGAAAGGACAACTCTGTGGGGCTCCCCAGGGCTCCTCCAGTGGCTGAGGAGGAGAATTTCTTTCTGAGCCCATAGAACAAGTGTGGCCGACGACTTCCCATCACATTCGAACACTACGTGGCCTTTAGCCTACCTACGTGAAGCCAAAAGCGGGGAGAAGTGTTTTCCCCCATCACCCTGGGTTTCCTCATCACTAGCCCTGGCTGGTACATGAATTACATATAGGCTCAGGCCATTTCTCTAAGGTGCTTACTAAATCCTTTGTTACCCTCATTTCAAAAGTTTCCTGATACAAAGCCAGCCCAGCTGGTCTAGGGAAAGAAATGAGTAGTTAGAAAAGTTATTAGCAGCAATTTAAAAAGTCCAAAAGCACACCTCAAATGATAGACAAAATTAAAGATTTCCCTTTCGAGCAGCATGGTGAGAGAAACAGTCTCTCTCCTTACTGCAACACGAGTCAGCTTGACTAGAGATAGGTCAGAAATGATGGTGCCAGAACAATCAACATGTCCTGGCCGCCTCCGAGGTCAGTCCCAAAGAGCCAGGCTCTACAAAGGGTGGTCAAGAGTCAGACTCACCTGGGACAGCTGGGTGAACACTTGTTTCCTGGCATCATTATTCACAGAATCCCCTTTCAAGCCCTCAAGTAGCCTGACTTACATGATAAATGATGTAATAATGACACTATCTCAAAGCTTGAACTGTCCCTAAATACCCACTTATTCACACATCAGTGACCTATCAAGGCCCCCTGGAGTGGGCTGAATGGTGGCCCCAAAGATATCAGGTCCTAACCCCTGGAGCCTGTGTGACTGTTACTTTATTTCGAAAGAGGCCCTTTGCAGATGTGGTTTTACTAAGGATTCTGAGATGGGGAGATTATCCCAGAGGGCCCTGGATGCTACGGTATGTATCCTTAAAGAGGGAGATCCGACAGAGGCAAGAGAAGCCACGTGAAGATGGAAGCGGAGGTCAGAGGGATACGGCCTCAAGCCAGGCAACGTGGCAGTTGCCAGCAGCTGGAAGAGGCCAGGAAGGATCCTTCCCTAGAGCCTCCAGACGGAGCATGGCCCTGCCGCACCTTGATTTTCAACTTCTGGCCTCCACAACTATGAGAGAATCCATTTCTGTTGTTTGAAGCCACCCAGCTTATAGTAATTTACTACAGCAGCAATTGGAAACTAACACAGCCCTCTGTGATTCCTTTTTTGCTACGAGCTTTCTCCAACAATACGGCGCACCATTTCTGAACTCCAGATTCCCTCTGCTGCTACTGGTGCCATCTCTCAACTGCTATCATGGCCTTGCTTCTGTGCTGCTGACGGTGACCACATCTTATCTCTTCCATCAGCGGTTAAGTTCAGAAAGTCGTGGAACTGTCTGATTGGAGTAAAAACGAAAAGCAGCTACCATATTGTTTCCAAGAAACACACTTACAGCAAAGCGACTAAGGAACAGTGAAAGGAAGGAAAGAAACTGGTACTCAAAATGGCCCCCAAAAGAAAACCCATCTTGGGCTTCCCTGGTGGCGCACTGGTTGAGAGTCCGCCTGCCAATGCAGGGGACACGGGTTCGTGCCCCGGTCCGGGAAGATCCCACATGCCGCGGAGCGGCTGGACCCGTGAGCCATGGCCGCTGAGCCTGCGTGTCTGGAGCCTGTGCTCCGCAACGAAAGAGGCCACAACGGTGAGAGGCCCGCGTACCGCAAAAAAAAAAAAAAAAAAAAAACCATTTCAATGTCCAACAATAGGAACATGGATCAAGAGACAGTTGAACAACACGGTTCCAGGGAACAGTTAAGCCCACTGGGGCTGCAAGAGCTCTGGAGGGCTCTTCATCAGCGTGGTGACAGAGGGCAATCCTGGCAAGTAGAGGCCAGAGGCCAGGAGTGCCGTCACATCCCCTGTGTGGGGGGCAGGACACCAGCCATGCAGACCATGCTAGTTTCTCTATGCGACAAAGACTTCATTATGATTAAACATAAGAAACAAAGTTTGAAAATACAATATTGGAACAAGAGGTAACTGCCAATCAAATACTTGCAAACAAAAAATGCAGGCGTCTCAATATTTGTATCAGTTAAAAAGAAAGTTAGGGTTTTAAAAAAAAAAAGAAAAAAACAAAAACCAAACAAAAAAACCCAAAAAACAAGTTAGGGTTCCAAATCGTTACACAGTGGGAAAGGGCCAAGTAATAATAAAAGGAGGAATTTACCAAAGAAGAAGCAATGTATCAAATATCTTCATGCCAAGTGCAAAAGCTACTAGAAAAAAAAGGAAAATCTGATGACAAATGACAGAATACAGAATTTACTAAACCCCCTGTTACATGGAAGAGAAATGGTAGCCGGATATGAGCTTCTCTATGCCACAGACAAGAACCAAGATGCTGAACAAGCCCATAGAAACACCCAGATGGGAGGAAGAGCTACGACAACAGACTACGCTGATGCGACAAAAGAAATAAATTGAAACACACATAAAACTTGCAAATCAAGTTTAGAATAAAAGCAGCTCCATAAATGACAAGTGGGACGTCACATGCTTCACAGGAGCAGGTGGGACCTCAGGTCTGGGCTGCTCACAAGCTAAAGGCAAGTCACAAAGTGACAGACACACACACAGCCCCCCCAACACACACCCCAACATTTCACGGCATGTGGCAATTATCTGAAATTCACATTTCAATGTCCATAAATATATGTTTTATGGATTTATGTTATATGGAACTGAAAGGATTCCCGCGGAACCGACCATCTATTCATAAAATACAAGGCGGACAACAGCTGAAGAGTTGCTCCCCATAGAGGCCTGAATGGTATCTCCAAAACTCACGTCAACCCAGAACCTCAGACTGTGACTTCATGTGGAAATCGGGTCTTTGCAGATGTAACTAAGGTGAAGATCCAGATGAGCTCATTCTGGATTAGGGTGGGCCCTAAATCCAGTAACTGTCCTTTTATAAAAGACAAAAGGACACACAGAGACACAGGAAGGCAGCCATGTGAAGACAGGCAGAGATGGACATGATGCTACCAGAAGCCAAGGAATGCCAGGAGCCAGCAGAAACAGGAAGAGGCAAAGAAGGCTCCGCCAGAGTCTTCAGAGGGACTGCAGCCTGCTGGCAGCGTGACCTCTGACATCTGGCCTCCAGGACTGCAAGAGAGTACATTTCTGGCATTCTAAGTAAGCCTCCCAGTTTGTGGTCATTTGTTTTCGCAGGCCCAGCAAAGTAATACATTCCCCTTTCAAGTTCCCCTCCAACTCCAACTTCTCTGATTTTTCTTGAAGGCAGAGGCCGTATCTTCAGTTTTTCTAGAAACTCACAAAGCCTCCTACAGTGCTAGTGTTACAAAAAGAATAATTCAACAATATTAACTTCATTCCTCTTGCAAGGTTAAAAAGAGATAACGGTATAAATTAAACTTGGTATCTTGAGATAACTGTAGACTCATATGCAGCTGTAAGAAACAATGCTGAGATGGTGCAACCTTGCCTCAGGTTCTCACGGTAACATCTTGCAAAAGTAAGGTAGGATATCACAACTGGGATCCCGACGTGGATACAATCCAGTGGTCTGCTCAGGACTTCCCCCAGTGTTTTATACTCACCAGGGTGTGTGTGTGTGTGTGTGTGT